AGGGCTAGACGATACGCGACCTCGCCTACTCGCTCGAGAACCTCGAACGGACCAATGAAACGAGGGTGCAACTTCCCTCTCTTGCCGAATCGCACTACTCCGCGAACCGGATGGACTCTAAGAAAGGCGTGCTCGCCAACCTCAAATTAAATATCTCGTCGATGATGATCGGCGGAGGATTTCTGTCGACTCTGAGCTGTCTTGAGTCTCTGCCGGATCAACTCGACCTGCTCTGCTGTCTCCTCGATCATTTTAGGACCGAGTACTCGTCGCTCTCCAACGTCGTCCCAATAAAGAGGGGAACGACACTTGCGACCGTATAGTGCCTCGTAAGGAGCCATCTGAATGGAGGAATGATAACTGTTGTTATACGCGAACTCGGCGTACGGCAACAGTGACTCCCATTTGGCACCCCTGTCAATAACCAAGGCGCGAAGCATGTCCTCAAGTGTCTGAATCGTCCTCTTTGACTGACCGTCCGTCTCCGGATGGTAGGCTGAACTGAATTCAAGCTTGGTGCCCATCGCTTCATGTAAGCTGTGCCAGAATCGGCTGACGAATCTGGGATCTCTGTTTGATACAATCGTGACGGGCACTCCGTGGAGTCGGATGATCCCACGGGTATATATCTCAGCCAACTTGTCCAGAGACATCTTCATCGAAACGGGCAAGAAATGCGCAACCTTCGTCAATCTGTCCACCACGACCCAGATAGCGTCGTGATGTTCAGATGACCTCGGCAATCCCGTAACGAAATTCATAGTGACTTCCTCCCACTTCCACCTCGGAATCGGTAGTGGCTGCAGGAGGCCAATCGGACTCTGATGCTCGGCCTTGATTTGCTGACAGGTAAGACACTTCCTGACAAACTCGGCGACATCCTTCTTCATGCCTTTCCACCAAAACGACCTTTTCAGGTCGTGATACATCTTCGTGCTCCCGGTACGGGCCAAATAAGGTGCGGTATGTGCCTCTGATAAAATCTCCTTCCGCAATGCCTCGGCCTTCGGGACCACGATCCTGCCTCTGAACTCCAAGGCACCATCGGCGCCTAGCTGAAAATCCTGTACTTCTCCGGCGCGAACCTTGGCCTCCATAACACGCACAACTCGTCAGAAGCCTGCTCTCGCCGGATTCTCTCCCTCAGTGTCGGCTGAAGCTGCATAGCACTGACACTGGCACTAGTGCTCCCCGAGACAGCTGTGGGGAGTGCATCAATCGCTTGAAGCTGCATCCGGGCGAACTCATGAATCAATGAACTCTGCTGCGTAATGACGTACGTCAAGTCTCCCGTCACCTTTCGGCTTAGGGCATCTACGACGATGTTCGCCTTCCCCGGATGGTACTGGATAGAACAATCATAATCCTGGACCAATTCGAGCCAACGGCGCTGCCTCATATTAAGCTTCTTCTGCTTGAAGATGTACTGTAGGCTCTTATGGTCTGTGAATATCTCGCAGCGTCCGCCGTAAAGATAATGACGCCAAATCTTCAGGGCGTGAACGACTGCGGCTAACTCTTAGTCGTGCGTAGGATAGTTCTGCTCATGGGGCTTAAGCTGACGTGAAGCGTACGTAACGACCCGTCCGTCCTGCTTAAGGACACATCCCAAGCCCTGCCTCGAAGCATCGCTATAGATAGTGAAACTCCGAGAAGGATCGGGGATAGTCAATACCGGTGCTGAAGTTAACCTCTTCATGAGCTCCTCGGAAACAGTAAAACTGAAATGTACAAGCTTAACTTAAAGCTTATACTTACTGATTGCATGACTTGAGAATCCAGTAATCTAATACTGAATAAAAGACTTGATCTGAACTGAAGATACATCAATTCACAATTAAGTGAATTGTAGAATACGGCTGACTGAAAATGGACACTTTTCTGAAAGAAGGTGTTCTACTGATAAGACATAATTTCAAAACGAAACTCTGAAATATGTTGGTCATCCTCTCCTGGCTGCTGGCGGATCTCCAATCGGAAGGCTGGTGGTGAAGACTCTCTTCGCAATCTCCCCGTGTACTGAGACTCAGACCTGGCATCCTTGAATGGAAAGCGTCGGTTTATCATCATGGCACGATCCGTTGTTGTCGATTGGCTCTTCTCCATCGCGGCGAATGTCAACCTGTGGTACCTGCAACTTTTTACTCCCTCCGAGGTTACACTTAACCTTAAGAAGAAGTCCCTCATGACTTAATATCTCCACGATTTCTCAGATTCTTCAGAATTTGAGAATCGAGGTGCTGACATACTGAAAATGGTAGATAAGTCTTGTCTTACCAGACAGACTATCCTCGATCTTGTCATGATTGACCTGAATACTCTCATGGCTGAAAAACCATGACTTGACTCTTACATGACTGAATCATCTTTGTTCGAACTCTGAAAACTATCCCAAGACAACTTAAATAGTCGCTTCGAGATTGAAAACGTGATATTTACTGACTTACTTGACTTGATAAGGTACGACTTCAAGTTTCCAGGTAAATCTGGACTATTGGTCTGTATATCAGACCGCTACCTTTTACCCGGCTGAACAACTATTATACGTCGACCTTATATCATGAACTTAAACTGTAAATTATGAACGTGAACCCTGTACTGTATAGGGCTGCTCCAGTATCAATTGGTCCCGCAAGTACAAAATAATTAGCTGATCTTGACTTCTGAAAGTCATAACTTAAAATAACATGACTGATAAAATATCTGACATGACTGACTTGAAAGGTTGTTATTACCTGAAATCTTACTGATTCG